ATATACCTTATACTACTCCTACTCTAATACTATTATATCTTTAGCCTATAGAATTAGTTAGTATTAAGTTATTAATTAATTTAAAATTAGTTTCTTATATACCTTATTCTTTAAAGGCTCCTCCTCCTCCTCTTAGTTATTATTAGCCTATTATAATTAATTAGGAATTAATTCTAAATTATAAAGTAATTACTAATTACTTATTAAGGCGAATATTAGCACTTAGAGTAGGGAGATAAGGCTAGGGTTAGTTACCTTAGCCTTATATAAGGTATTAGGTAGTAAGGACCTATTAGTAATTAATTAAAAAAAAGCTAAATAGGTTAGTAAGTAATTTTAAACTAATTAGGATTAGTATAAGTAATTCTTAATTAATTAGGAATATAGTGGGAATTAATTAGGATTAGTAGGAGTAATTCTTAATTAATTTAGAATATAGTAGGAATTAATTAGGATTAGTATAAGTAATTCCTAATTGATTTAGATTAGCGTAAGTAATTCTTAATTAATTTAGAATATAGTAGGAATTAATTAGGATTAATATAACTAATTCCTAATTAATTTAGAATATAGTTAAGAATTAATTAGGATCGCTATAACTAATTCTTAATTAATTTAGAAAGTAGTTAAGAATTAATTAAGATTACTATAACTAATCCTTAATTAATTAGGAATATAGTTAAGAATTAATTAGGATTAATATAACTAGTTAAAAATCGATTAGGAAATACTTACTAACTAATTTAGTCTTTTTAGCTAAATTATTAGTGTTAATACACTACTCCTTTACCTATATCTTATATACCTCTATATAGTAGTAGTAGAGGTTAGAATAGTTTAAAAATAGTATACTCTAATTAATTATAAATTAATTATAAATATTAAATTAATTCTTAATTACTTATTATAAGGTATAAGTTACTATCTTTACGCTAGTAATAATAAACCTTGCCTAGGGTAAGGATTATATAGCTACTCTATAATTTATTTATAATTAGTTTAGAATATATTCTAAAAGTATTTTATAATTAATTAGGAATTACTTACCTTATTCTACTATAGTAGTAGGAAATAGCTTGCTAGTAGTTACTTCCTACTATTAAAGTAGGCCTTAAAAGTATTAGAATTTATTCTAAATTAATTTATAATTAATTATTTAGTAGGAAATAGACTATTAGATTATTATTATATAGGTTAGAGGAACTAATTCTAAACTAGTTATATAGTAATTTAGAACTAATTAGAAATTATTTATATATATAACTACCTTACTAAGAAAATTTTTTTAGCTAGTAAAAGCGTAAAAGATACTAGTACCTATAGCGTTAGGAGTAACTAAGTTATAAACTAACTAAAATACCTAGAATATATTAACCTACTAAGGCTAATAAATTCCTAACCAAAACTAAGAAAACTAGTAAGTAACTAGCCTATAAATATATTATTAAAGGCTAGCTATTTACTAAAATAGTAACTTATCTACTAAAGTAGGATTTCTAACTAATTAATATATTAGAAAGTTAATACTATATAGAAGTTATTAAGAATTAATTCTAAATTAGTTCTAAATATATTAAGAAAGACTTTATTACTAAATTTAAGTAATAAGAGAATAAAATATAGAAGAAGTAAGATACTAGAGTACTATAGGCTTTCTTCTTTTTATATTTAATAGAATCCTCCTCTTTTCTCTATAAAATTAGTTTATTTTCTAATTTTATAAGATTTTCTTTACTATATATACTATTTATATATTAGTTCCTAACTATCTATATATTGGTTGCTAACTGCATACTTACTAAATATAAATAGTATTATTATAACTAATAGGGTATATATAGGGTAAGAGGTAAAGTTGTTATATTATATAACTTCTATCTAGTTATATAGTATAGGTAAGTACTAGATATACTAGGTAATAGGAGATCGTTCTTCTAGCTTTAAAGCCGCCTATTATTACTCCTACTTAATCTATATTAACTAGGAAAAACAACTAGAAATAACTATAAGGAATAAAATAATAACTATAAGGAATAAAATAATAACTATAAGGAATAAAATAATAACTATAAGGAATAAAATAATAACTATAAGGAAAAGTAGTAACTACTATAGCTACTATAATATACTATAATAGTAGCTTAATTCTCCTACTTATTAATAAGTATAATAGTACTTATTAGTATACCTAAGTTACCTTTTTCTTCTAAATATAAGGTAGCTTATAGTTATACTAGGTATAAAGTAGTTTATAATTATATTAAGTATAGGGTAGCTTACTACTATATAGAGGGCCTTACTATTATATAGGGGGCTTTATAATTACTATATTTTCTACTTTTTACTTATAAGGCGATTTAACTTAAAAACCTATATAAATAAATTTTATAGAAAATAAAAGTTATACTATAAACTATATTTAATAAGGACACCTTATCCTAAAGGCTATAGGATATATAAAGGACTACTAGCTAAGGTATACTAGGTGCTATACTAGTACTAAGTATACTATAGTAATACTATACTAGTACTAAGTATACTATACTAATACTATACTAGCGCTATACTAGTACTAAGTATACTATACTAGTATTATACTAGTACTAAGTATACTAATTAACTATAATAGTCTTAAGAGTAATAAAATAATAATAAACTTATAAAGGCTTAGGCTTCTATAAGATTATAGCTATAAGGAAGCCTTAATAGCTATAAGACCTATAGAGCCTTATAACTTATAGCTATAAAAGGCTTATTATAATATCTTTAAAGGGTAATACCTT